AATGTAACTTATTTATATAAGTTATAGACTAAAATAGTATATTATTATTGTCAGAAATTATAAAACCCGTGAAAAAACTAGTAATAAATGGATAACTGATAAAATAATTATCGTTATTGTGCCGAAATTGTATAGTTTTAAAATTATCTGCGTATTTTTATAGCAGATTCTAATACTTTAGTTGACCGGTAAATATCAGTTAGTGAAGTATAGTGTTCTAAATAATTTCTCTATAATCGTTATTAATACCCAATAGGATGAGTTTTAAAGAAAGTAACTTGACTAAATATATGATCGTAAATTCCTTTTTTAATATTTAATTTTATGTGTAATTTAAAATTTTTTTTTTTTTTAATTAAATTTAATAAATGCTTTTTTTGGCTTCTTAAAATGCTTTTTAAAGAATTTATTTTACCACAAAATCCAAGTCCTACTCATAACGTTTAATTTTTTTTTTTCATCGTTTCTTTGCGCAATGGTATTAAATTACAGATAGTAACTATGATGCAGATGAACATGGTTGAAGATAACCTCACGCTTGGTTCACCCCTAGGTCAAGTTGTTTTTATTATTAGGATACCGATTATTAATAGTGAATAGCCGTTTAAATTTAAACGAGTTTAATTTCCTATAAAGCTTTTTTTTGCTATGTCCATAAATATGCACAAGAACAAACACCGAAAATCGCAGGCTTTGACATCACGAATCCTTGTTTTTCTCATGGACAATTTTATGTTGCTTGCTCCCGTGTCAGATCAGCAAAAAACCTAAATGTGTATGCGCCTCACCAAAGAACAAAAAATATTGTTTACAAAAAAGTATTTTCATCTTAATAGAAATATGAACAGAGGTATTATATATATATATATTAAACTTATATAATAAAGAAAATAGTAGTTTTTCAATCTAATTTGTTTTTATATATAAAATAGTTGAATACCTTCTGGGCGAAACGGTGTAATTCAGCTAAATAAGTATATAATATTATTTAAATGGAAAAATATAAATTTGTGTCATACGTGTTTTCTAAAACTACTTATCAGATTATTTTTAAAATAATGAATTCGTCGCGGTGCAGATTTTAACTATAAGTGTATTGTAGACTGTGGTCCCGTTGACTATACGACTACGGATTAATAATTTTTTCAGGGTAATTTTATTAGCAGTTTCAGGCCGAACAATTAATCAGCTTAATTTATTTATAAATCAATACTGTTGTATTAAACCAAGTCAAGCAATCCACAATAGTTTATTATGTTATGTTTTTTTATGAGCAATTTTACAAATTACATAACACGTCATCTGACCTGATTGACCTACCAATTATACTCCACGCATAACCTGTTGGCAGACTATGTTTTGTCCTTTGCACGTAGCTCTTGGCTTCTGATTTGTTCTCCAAACATCTGGTTATCGGTCTACAGCGCTAACCCAAATGTAAACAACATAATACACCGTGCTGCAGTGACTGCGTTTTTTGAGTTTATATTTAATCTCCGTCAATATTTTGAGTTTTGTATTTAGTGTTTAAACACTTGTTATTTTATGAATAATATAATTAAAGATGTCAGATTAGGAATATTCATCAATGATATTTTTACAGAAAAAAATTTTTGTAGCAAAGTTTGTATAAATCAGTTAATATGGAAAAAAATAAAAAATTAAAAAGTAACAACATAAAAAAAAATATAATGTTATGTATTTATTTTTATTTTATGCTGAATATAATCTTACTAATAATATAAAAATGTATTTTATCTTTCAATGAATAAATTCAAATGTATATTATAATATAATTATTTTTATATTTTTTAAATAATAGATACAACTTAATAAAATATTTATTTATAAAATCTTAATAATTTAACTATTTAAGTTTTTAGTTGGTTGGCAATAAAAAAAAAGCTATAATTGTTATGCATTATTAAAATCAGAAAAGGACAATATTAAATATCGCAGTTTAATGAAACGCATTTCCTATACACTTGACGTAAGACTGAATTTAATTCATTTTGGCACAATAAAGGGTTTCCGACACTTTGAAAGGTATTAACAGTAATTAATGAAAACGAAACTGCCAATTATCGGCAAAACCTTTTAAACGAAAGTTTGAAGAGCTTAAATTTTAAATTTATAACAATCGATGGTGAAGTAGTATTTTAACTGAAAGAAGCGATCTTTTAAGCTGAAAAAGAAAATATTTAATGTGGATTCGTTGCTTTCGAGAAAAAGAAGACCCATTTACTATCTAGACCAGGGGTCTCCAAACTTTTTTTATCCGAGGGCCACATAAAATAAAAAAAAGCTCTTAGCGGGCTAAAATGTATGAATACATTGAATTTTCGTATATATTTTATAAATTACAGCTAATACAGCTGATAATTTTTCGTGCGCGCGATAACGACTATGAAAACTAGGTATACATATTTTTAGAATATTTTCCGTTATTTGGCGGACTAGTGAAAACTTATTTGGGGGCCGCATCCGGCCCTCGGGCCGTAGTTTGGAGACCCCTAATCTAGACAACACGTTTTCGGTTAAATACTGGCGATTGTTTAAGTCTGGATTGACAAAATCGTTACTTCGTCACTTTGAATAGAATGATATTTTCAAAAGATTCACCTGGCCTTCAAAATCAAACTAACAAAGGAAAAAGGTTTATTGTTCAACAAATACTGGATCTACAGCTGGTTCCATACCTGGTGCGTTATGTTTTGAATAATAATAAAAAGAAAAAACTTGTTTGAAGAAATAGTATCTCTTTTATATGACAATGCCGTTATTGTATTGGATAATGTATACCATACCACTCGGGAAAAAAAGAATAAATTCTAACAATGTCCTGAAAAAAGGTAAACTTGGTGGAATGGCTACGGTTTAAAGACGAAGAATTCGATGCAACACAATGTATATAAAAATGACCTTATTGAAACTGTCCAACGTATAAAATCAAATAAATAATTGATATTTAAAATACCTAAATTATATATTTAGATTCACTTTATTATTTTATTATTTTAAAATACAACTCGTAACATCATCGATGAGTTGTGAAAGATGTCGGAAGGATAAAATTGCCTCCTTACCATTCTAAATTAAATCCAATTGAATTAATGTAGTCATTGATGTTTTGAGATTGCTTCCTTGTCATTGTATTATAAATTGAATCTAATTGAATTGGTGAAGCAATATTTAAAATCCAACAATACTATGTAATGACAAATAAATCAGCTAACGTCAAATATTTACTTCACCAAGCCATTGACAGTGTGAAAGCAGAAAATTGACGTCTTTATTTCACACATGGAAGATGAGTAACAAAAGTTTTGGGAAGTCGACTTTTTTTAATATGAGATTATTAAATCAACTTCAAACCAATCCTAACTATATTCTCATAATTGGAGATTAACAAACTCATCCAATGACGATGACAACGACGACTATTAAATTTCCACTATAAATACTGTGTGTAATATTTATTAATTATTACTTTCTTTTTTTTTTTTTATTATTATTATGTATATTATATATTTTTCAAATATTTATGGTAATTGTGAATAACAAGAATATCTATGTTTAAATGAAATAATCGTTTTTATCTAGCTTTATTACTGTTAGGATGTTCGAAATATCGAAATAATAGATCTGTATATTTGTATTGTTTAAAATTAACAAATGAAAAATAAATAGTAGTACAAAATACAAAGTACAAAATACAAAGTATAACTGAAAAAGTGACAAAGCAGACTGGTTGTTAAAAGTCAGAGGCAGGTTTGGCAACATTACTACAAAGGTATTAAACCAGTGAATATTAATTCGCATTTATTCGGATCGTGAAATCCAAAACGAATTCCATAATAATATACAATAATAAATCAATAAATAAATAATAAAATCGAATATAATGGCCAAAGGAATGTGTGTGTTAATTGTTATTGTAATCCGCAAGCACATGACGTCTGCTATACTCGCAGCCAGTGGCCATTTGACAAGTTATAATTTATCTTAAACATGTAGATGTAACAATATGTTAGTCATAAAAACAGTAATAGGTACAAGTGGTACAACACTGTTTTATTTGTGTTCATTGCTTTATTATTTATTTTAATGCGTTATTTAGAATAAAATATAAATTAAAAATAAATAAATAAAGCAAAAATGAATTACTTAAATATCAATTTTTCGTGTTCTGTGTTAAACTTTAAAATTTATAGTATCTTATTTTTTTTAACATCAATTTTAGATTCTGAGCGAAGCACTGAATATATTGATTTTACAATGATGTATATTTTTTTCTTTTTGCAAACTATTTATAGGTATGAGAAGTTTTCAATTTTTTTTTTTTTTATAAATTCCAATAAAACATTTATGAATATAATATCATATAATATACATTAATAATCTTGAAAAAATTTTAACCAAACGTAGTACTAAAAATTAATAGCTTTATCAAAAATCATCAATAAATATACTTAGTGATATAGACTAACAGACCATTTCCGCTCAGAAATAGTTTGTAAATTAAATATGTGTTTAAGCCAATTTTTTTTTTAATGGCATGTGTTTAATACATGATAAATAATCCACTTAAACGTGACATTTATTAGAATGTATTTTGTGTTTATAGATTATTATTAAATCAAAGAAAAAACTAGCATTGTTTCAAATAATTTTTCATTATTTAATGTACAATACTTTTTTTTTTGTAAGTTACCTACTTTTTTCAAGTGATTACAAATTGTATAATGACATGATGTCATTTTAAAATGAGTTTTTTACTCAATTTTAAATTTCGGTGAAATGATTTATTATAACTAGAATCAACAATTTATGAATCATTAATATTTTTTACCAACCAAACTCATTACATTCGTCACAGTCGTCAAATATTTATTATTTTTTATTTGATATGAATAACTGTACACTTTAATGTTATTTAAAATATCGCGTACAAATAAAATGTTTCAATGAGCTGCATTATAATTATTCGCTGTAGGTATATCAACTAATATAAATGAAAATGTATATAAGCATGACTTCGTCAAACATTACAAAAATATTGCCCTCCACCGTCGATGATATGAGGGTTGAAAAATTACAATATTCTAAATTTATATTCGATCGATTTTCTGAAAGGTTTGAGCATCCGAATAAATCGTTTACATGAATTTGGAAAAATGGGAAAGCCAAGTCGGTCGTACACCGCTTGATCTTGTATATCAAAATATGTGCATTACTTTTGCAGGGTAGTAGTTTCCGGCGGCGAAATTTTATTGGTCGGGTTTAGTTGATAACGTGTCGGCAGTAGAAATGGGGTAGGGAATCGCTGGTAAAAGTTGCTAGGCCATCGCTGGAAAGCGAAATTGACCAAGAACGGTATCGTTTGCTGCTGACCATACATAAACACTTGTTGGCGTGATGATGATGACAACGGGAAAAAAAAGGCTCTTTGCTGTAATTGTTGTTGGTTTTGATGTCGTTGTCGGCACTGCTGTTGCTGTTTGTATTGGTTTTGTTGTTGTTGTTGTTGATATAATTTGTAAAGGTGTTCATATTGTTGTTGGTGCGGTTGAATTGGTTGTCGATGCGGTGGATGTTGATTCTGTTGCTGCAGTGTTTGCTGTAATTTCCTGTCTCCTTGCAACAAATCATATTCGTGCGTCGAAAAAACTGAATAATATTATAGAAACAATAAGTTATAAAATATATCGCTCAATAATTAATATTAATTTATTAGGTGCCTTTCTAAACACTCATTGACGTTATAATAATAATAACAGTAATGATTGTTATTTCCCGTATTAAATAATAACTTTTACTTTAATATTGTTAAAAAAAAACGTAGATAAATATAGAAATCATTCGTATTGTATCGTTTTGAACAAAATAAATATGTAAATCAAAATTCAACTATTAGGAAATAAGATTATTTCTTTCAAGTCTCAAATGTAGAATTTATTACCTGATTGTTGCGTTTTAACAAACTCTATAGGAAGGCAGGTGTTAAATTGTTTGTTTCGTGATCTCATCCACGGTGCGAGTTCATCATCAGTTCCTTAACAGACAAAAAGAGATACAAGTTATATAATTAGTAATATTAGTCACATATATATAATATATATATAATTAATTGTATAATAAGTTTATAGATATACCTTTTGATATTAATGGCTCGTTTAAGTTAACGTAAGGCCAATCTTCAAGTACGAAATTAGTTTTTTTGAACGGCTTAGATGTATTTTTAACATGGTAGTCTAAAGATTTCTGAGGTTCTTAAGCAAATGATAAAATTGATACATTAATGATATAGTTACTTATTAATATTATTTAAAATATTTATAACTTACTGGAATTATGTAATACCAATTTAGTTCGTCTATTAAATATGGTTTTGCTTACGTCCAACTTCAAAGATATATTTTTTCCACCTAACCAATAGTTTTTTTCTGCATACGCAACAAAATTTTCTACATCATTAGCATTCCTATGAAAAACTTGTATTTCACAAAGAGTTATAAGTAGTAATTCATTTTTAGTTTAAAAGACATTTTCATTAACAACTTACATAGAATATAAATCAATAATTTTCGTATAAGAAATTATTAAAAAAATATATATAGTTGTATACAAATAACACATTAAATTTGTATTAAAAACAAAATTATTATAAGACATTAATAACATAACATTTTTTATTTGAATATAAATAGTATTAATTTTAAATAAAAATAAACTTTTTTAATCATTTATCATATTACAGTGGAACCTCGATAACTCGAACTTCTTTAAGTCGAATTTTCGATAACTTGAAAGAATGTCTTGGCCCCTACTTCATAACATATCATATGTGTAACCTCTGTAAGTCGAATTTTCGATAACTCGAATTTTTTTTTCGTCCTCAACTGATTCGAGTTATCGAGGTTCCACTGTATTATCATATTAGTCATATTGTATCTAAAACTATTATTGCGCATAAATCATTAAATTTGTAAGAAATTTAATTGACAAGCATAAATATATAATCAATATTAATAAAATGTATAACTAAATCATAGTCATAGATATTAAAATCAGATAGGTATTTAATATTTATGCACTAAAAAAATATACCTACGTAATTACTAATAACGTACGGAAGCTTTTACAGTAATTTAGTTTGCTGCAGCTATTAATATTCGTTAATTGATTATTAAAGTAGATAAATATAATACAAGATAGTTTCAAGTTTGTAATAAACTTTGTGTCACCTAGTTACTCTTATATTGTTATAATGTTATGACTTATGGGTAGCCGGGTAGGTATGAAAAAAAATGTGTATTGATGTATTACTTTAAGACTACATACATATTGAAATTTTATTATAATTACACATTTACGTCTTATTATGTTTATGCATATGTAATATTTTTAATGGGGTGATAATCAAAAACTTGAAAAAAATAAAATTAAATGATTAATAATATTATTATATAATATATAGTGTTTATCATAGACGAATTATTTTTGAAATTTAAATTATGACTTAATTAACGTATATTTACTATTATTTATTTAAAGATTTCATGAAGTTTAAACTTAGAAACATAAAGATATTTTGATTTTATGCCATCAAAACTATTTTATTTTCGTCTTTGTTTTTCATCATCCCAACCCTTTACTTTCTCACCTATCCAACACTCACTCTTCCTGACAACTCACCACGCCGCTTTTAAAGATGTTGGTGCTATTACCTACTAAATTAGTTGTTAAATAAACCAATACTACGAAGGGTTCATCCCTAATGACTTCTTTCAGTGGCAAACCCAAGGTGGTGGACTCCGGATCTGGACCCTCGGCTTATGTCATAGTATTTATTTTTATATTTTAAAGTTACTCTGAAATTTTCATCAAATTTTATTGATTAGATTGATTATAATATTAGATTTGTTATTTTGTTAATAACACATCGAATTCGATATATTGATAAAATCAATTAAACTGGCATAATAATAATAATTAATTGACATACATTGTAAATATAAATTTTAAAATGTAAGAAATATGTTTATTAAATAATTTAATTTTGTTTATTAAGCAATAAAATGTATGTATTATTTAAGGAAAAGAATAGAAAAACAGTAAATAAATACATTTTTGGATCCCCCCCCCCCATTGAATAAATCCTGGTTACACCATTGACTTCTTTCATCATGTGTTATTTTTTATTTATGTTGTTGATTCTATTATCATCTCATTTTTAAATTGTGTTAAAAATACAGATAGTGAATTTTTTTCAAATAAAACAAAATCTTTATCCCTTAATATATTATTAGCAATACTCAAATTCTTTAAAATCAAAATCAAACATATTATAGAGAATTTTAAAATTTATAATGTTAATAATCTATATAATTTAAAAAAATAATAATAGTGTCCGTGTTCAATCTGTAGATATTTTCATAATAATGTCTTTGGAAGAATGTATTTTTTAATTATAAGTTTATCTATCTAAATTATAGTTACAACTGTTTTGAGAATTCAAAATCAAAATCCATTGGTTTAAAATTGTGCCCAGCTATAGTTATTCTGATTAAACAGTTAAATAGACGACATCATCGTGTGTACACTGTGTACATAGGTGTTATAATATATGTTTATTAATAGTGTTATAAAATATATGCGTATCTAAAATTTGTATAAATCGACATGAATTACACGATTAATTTAATATTATAATAATTATGTGATTTACTGTTCTGATATTATATCATCAAACTCACTCGCCGGCGATGCATCTGAGAAACAAATATTCGGTGTCAAGTAACATCCACGTCTCCGAGTTGGAAAACCGACGACAAGTTTGTCGGTCGATACGATTGTCGCGCGTCAGATTAACTTCGTACACGTCATCGCCATCATAGACAACTGGGTCCGAAACGAAGGAGTCGCCTGCGACGATCGCCAACTGACTTTCCGGTATCAAGTCCTTAACGGGTACTTGTCGCAATTCATTACTGACATTGACGTCGTCGAGCATTACAGCACTATTTTTCCCTTGTATGTTATGGGTTTATAATATAAAGTATTTAACGCTATAATAGTAATATAATAACAAACTATATAATAACTAAACTACGTAAACTCCATGGTCACTCACCGTGTAGCTTGGTATATAAAATAATAAGTGTAGCTATAATGCCGCAATTGGCACAGAAATAATGTAAATAAATCGGTCGTTACCACGGGCAGGAATATTATGTATATTACTTAATGTATTATATTATAATAATATAATATAATATAATATAATAAAGTGTGTTGGTATGTTAATAGTTTAATATGATATTGACGACTATTTTTATCAAACAGTATCCAAAGAGTTATAAATTCCATCGATATCTGAATCTAAATATATGTACGTATTTATTAGTTATTTTGTTATATGTTGAAATTTTGAATTAGGACAGCGGTTTGGAAATACAGTTTTAAACTCTAATATCTAAAATTTAAACAAAGTTATAAAAATATGCATAAATAATTATTAGTTGAATGATAAAATCGATATTTTGGTAATTTACAAAAGTTTTGATTAAATAAATTTCTATTCAAATTTTAAGCCGCAATAAATTAATTTTAGAATTTCATAAACTAACTGAAACTTTTTCTAAAAATATGTTGTGTGGTTGGTTAATCACTATAAATTTAAGTTGTTTTCTATTTTTCACTATTTCTTAAAAAAACTATAAAAAATTCATATGAAATTTACTTTCTTATGATTATTACCCACGTCACATTTCCAATTAATAGAGGATATATTAAAATCTGTATAATTTTATCAATTACATTTTTTAAACACTCTTTTTCTCTAAAAATGGTAAAAGTATTTTATTAAATAAGTAAAATTCTTTGTAAAATCAAAATTTTTCTCGCTAATATTCAACTTCTAGAATGTAATTTTTAACGTAAATATTTTCGAACTAATACCTATCCCTTAAAATTTAAATTATTCTAAGGTATAATATAGTAAGAATAAATAATATATTTGGTTTTAGGTTGTGAACGAGGAGTACAATTTTTTTATTTAAGTTGAATAATAGGTGCTAAATGTTAGAAAAAGCAAGTTCTCCTTTTCTCAGTGCAATAACTATATAATAATGAAAAATATTTTTTTGTCTTTAAGCAAAATTTGTACCTCTCATAACTGTATTTATTTTTAATCCTTCTTATACGTGTACCGAGATAATAAACACGCTACATGTGATTATAATTCTAGAAATGCGATTGCATTTACCAAAAATTCAAACAAGAACGAAGTAATAGTAGGTACATAACTTAACTATAAATTAATTATTTATATAAATCAATGTTATTTATTTTAAATGTCTATAGTGTTTACAAATAGACATCAAAATAGATCTAAGGACAATTAAGATCGAAGACGTATACCCACACAAAAACTATTTCATTTGTAGGCTATTCTATTCCCAGTTTGATAAAGTGAGTTTTTTATATTTTATATTTTATAATTTATGAAATTGTATGATTCTATGTTAAATAAAAGATAAATACATAACGTACGTAATAACAAGTTTTAAATTATATTTTATAAATTTTTCACTCATAATGAAACGTTGATTGTTTTAATTATCGTTTTTGTATACAGCTAATTTACTTATCGTTTTGTAGAAGTCGTTCCTCCTATGTATATAAAAATCCCAATTATAATTTTTTGTCACGGAAAATAAGATTTTGGTAAGCAGCTAAAATTAATTTTTAGACTATTGTGTGTTGTTCGTCTTATGATGTCGTTCATATGATGACGTCAGACTGAGCTTACAGCTTGTTGAATGGCGTATAAATATTTGTCTGTATACGGTATTATTTATAATGATATATTACATTTATTCGATACTTATTTGTCAGCCACTATTGAATTTCCGCTTTATTTTTATTATTATATTTTATCATGTACACATACACACATATATATATATATATATATTCACTTTTGATTATCGTTTTGAACAGTTTATAAAATAAACTTTATACTTTTAATTTGATGAATGAGCCCCTAAAATTGTGTATGGCCTTGAGCTAGAATAGTGTACACATTTAACATTTTTGTTTTTTGTGGTATTTGATGCCTTTTTTTCCAATCCTATTTGTAATAACTATTTAAGTAGAGTTATAATAATAATTTAATGTATGTTTGTTATAAATTTACACTAACATCAATATTGCATACTCGAATCGCCGTATTACATTTTTAATATTTATCTTTGCCATTTTATAATGTAATGAATGACAATGACATTAAGTACCAAACTACTATTTTATATTTTACAAAACCATGCACACTCTTAAGGACTACATATTTATTAATAATACAGTTTAGAAATCATGCTCTATTAACATAGATAATTAATAAAGTAATTTTCCATTTCATATTCCATATCTACAGGTATTATCTAAATTGTTGAAAGTGATTCACGCTATATTAAATGACTTTACAGTTACAATATTCAATTAAAAATTAATTAGGACGGTTATTGTATGGAAAGTTTAATAAACATATGGATATAACTGCTTTCTGTAATGTATTGTAATATGTATTATAATATTTTATCTATACAATTATAGTACGAGTAGATATGATTTAAATACCTTAGATATATGACACAGCAGACAAATAATATATTATATATTTCACAAAATTTCAAAATTAAAGATTTCTATTATTCATTAGAATTTTTTAACTGAAAATCCTTTGTGAAATTTAAGTTAAAAACAATTTTAATATTTATTTTAGGCTACAGTGTAAATAATATGAATAAATAAATAACATTCTTTGATTAGATAACGTACCTACATGATAATCTAACGATATGATAGTCAGCTGATGTAGTGTTGGTGAAAGGTTGGTTACTGCGGCACAAGCGGTGGCTATAGCCAGGTTTTGAAGGATTGGTTGACAAGTAAAGGACAAAGGCTGTGTACCGGTGATAGCAGCAGAGCAGGGGTTGATGTTTCAAAAGCCCCAAATCATACTACTTGTTTATTTACGCGTATGAGTACTGTATTTGTAAAAATGCATAGCTATAAATTTATATATAAATATATATATATATATATTTTTTTTTTTGTGATAGTTAGTATGGTAGTAAATAGTAATTGGCAGAATTTAAGTATAAAATGTGCCTCTGGGCGCCACATTCGTTTACACAGCATAAACAGCACGTTAAAACTATTGGCACCATTAAACGATCATATAAATAGTTTACATCAAACACAGTATTGTATGAAAAAAAAATCAATATTTATTAAATGATATATAAGTACTTATTTCATGTAGAGTGCACGTATGATGGATATTGGATACATTATATCATAATAACATGTATTGTTAACGTAATTATTGTAATAATATATATAGTTAGATAGTCTAAAAACCAGTATAGGACGTGAATTTTTGCTCAGCTGAACGTGATGATTATTATTGCAGATCTATATGAATTATTAAATAATCTCTGTTTATTTACACACGTATAGTGTCATGTATGCCATATTTAGTATTGACAATAATTGCATCATTTTCAACTGATGGTGGATTATGGATACGCTATTTCAATCTTCATTACCTGAAAACACGATCAGATAAATTTGTGCGGTGTAAGTTTTTGAACCGTAGAAACTGGAACCTCGAACCTTGAATTAACTTAACCTAACTGTTTAAATTTCTGTTCTCTGTCACAGTTTCATAGATTACAAATATAAAACCACTTTCAACATAACTTTTTTAAACTAAAAGAATGCACATCTTTTAATCTCCATTTCAATTATTGTAATATTATCCTAGGCATTTACTTACCTAATATAAATATTAAGTACTATATTCTCATGCGTATCAAAATTATAATTCTAAGTTGTATATCCTAAATACTCTTATATATACACACATTCATTTCATACATAAAATATATTATGTCAGCACTGCAATTTATTATTAATTATTTAATATTCATGTAAAAATTATGTTAATTGTGATTAAATATTATATAAAGAGCAGAGTTTTCTTTTAAAAATATATTAAGAAAAAAAATCTATGAATCTATGAAGAATCAAATTGGTAACTAAAAATTTATATTTTAAAATATCGAACAGATTTTGATTTAAATTTTAAAATAAGTGTTCTGGTTAGATTTAAGTTCTATAATTTTAAAGGTTCTAGTTTTTCCGGTTCTTATTTTTAATCTAAAGTTCGACGTAAACGCTAAATTTCTGAGGACGTCTCACATGGAACTATAAAAGTAGGTGTAGATATTTTAGAAAGGTGGATTATAGTTAGAATGCTACCTGATGTTTTTGCTTCTTACTAAATTTACGTGAAGTGCATTACTATTTATTACCTAAATATTAATTATTTACACAATATTTAATTGATATTAATTGTTATAAAATGATTACATAATAGTATGTTCCTATATTATAGGAACTTAATATAATAAAATATTATACATAATTTATACAAAATTGTTATTCAGATACTTATTTTAAAATAATTGAAATGATAATTTTAGTACCTATACTAAAATTCATTTTAAGTATACTAACGGTATTTAATTTAAATATTTAAAAATGTTAGGCACCTAAAAGCTAAAATTGCTTATCTAAATTAATATAATTACTATAATTTGGATGTCTAAATACATGAGTAGTATAAATTAAGTTATATATTTTATATGGTGTACCTACCAAAATATATGTGTACCATATAATGTCCATGATAGGTAACAGACATTAAAGTTATTAATTATTTATTTTGGGGTAAGTAAATAACTCATTAATAATCAACATTTAATATATAAGTAGTACACTATAGTATAGAAATTGTTTTTTAATTTTAAATATGTAGGTTGTAGGTACAAATATTTTATGATAATGTTTAAATAAAGGCAGACATCCTTAACCGTTGCAGGTTTTTTGTACATCTTTATAATAGAGAATACAAATTACAATAATTGTATTTCAATATTTAATTTACTATTTTTGAACCAATACGGTTTTGTTTTTTTAGATAAGTATTAAGGATTTAATTATGTTAAGTTCAAATATGAAATTTTATATTTTTTTTTATATTATCTCTATATTTTGGTACTTAATTTAAGAAAAAATT